ATTTTTATAATATATGATTATTATAGGAACATGCTGGTTATTCCTTTTTACTTTTCTTTTCATTCAATTTGCTATCTAGTTATAGTTTAATTAAAATTTTTATTTGAATGAAATAAATAATTCTATTTTGTTAATGTAAGTTTATGTTAACATTACGTATGATATTTTTCATTTTTTGTCTTTTATTATATTAAACAGAACACCGATTATAATAATATAAATTCTTATGTATCGATTTAACGTCGATTTCAGGACGATCGATTCAAAATATAAACATAAATAGAAATGTCTGTTTACCTATGAAGGTCCAATAGTGACTAATATGTCTAACAGTATTCGTAACCGATGAAGTTTCAAATTTATTTTACTTAATAATGAAATATCAAATGTAAAATGAAAAAATTTTAGAAATTCATAAGTTTAAAAAATCTTGAAATTCAAGACATTCAAAAAATTCAAGTAATCTAAAAAATTCAAGAAATTCAAGTAATCTAAAATTTCAAGAAATTCAAGAAAGTCAAAAAATTCAGAAATTCAAGTAGTCTAAAAAATTCAAGAAATCCAAAAATTCAAGTAATCTAAAAAATTTCAGAAATCCAAAAAATTCAGAAATTCAAGTAATCTAAAAAATTCAAGAGATTCAAGAAATCCAGAAATCCAAAAAATCCCCAAAATTCAAGAAATTCAAAAATCCATAAATTCACCAATTTAAATAATCAAAAATCCAAAAGTTTAAAAGAACAAAATCTCCCAAATTCAAGAACTCAAAACCCCGTAAACACCCCAACCCCAAATAACAAATTCAAAAACCACAAAAATGCAGAAAGTCGAAACATAAAAATTCACAAGGTAAAATTCACTAACATTTAAAAAGAAGAACAGTAAGTTTCGGAACTAAAAAATTGAGTACCAAGTTGCATCGTGTCCCCCTGGAGCTTAGTTGCCCGAGAGCGTTGCAGAACGTCGCGTCCTGTAATCGCATCCAGTCCTCTTGCAGTTTATCGTAGTTGCATTGAAAGGCAGCGTTACCAAGCGCGATCATTTTGCTTACTGTCCCACGTTTCACCTACGACTTCGTCGCATCCTCGTATTTCCGCGCGTACAACACGCGTCGCCTCGATTTCTGCGGATAGTCGTCGTTTAAACGTTCGATAGGAAACGTTCGTCGCTGCCGTCTTCGAAGACTCTCAACAGCCATCCTCATCCACCGTCACTCGAGACACATCTCTCATCGAGAACATTCGCAACTTTTCTCGTTACTCGATCTCGCGAGACACTGCATCTGGTGGTTTTAACGTTGGGTATGACCGTGAATTTGGTGCTCGTGATTTGTGCTCGTTAGTGTGGTTCGATAAGAAATTTTGATCGATCGCAGACTGTCGTTTCGTGTGAATATTCATTCGGTTGTTGAAGTTTCGTCGAAGTTCTGTGTTGAAGTTTGTTCGCCGTGGGGGAAATTCTGCACGTTTCTCGCTTTAGAAATAGAACGTCTATCGTGTATATTGTGTTCCAAGTTCCACGAAGTACGCTGTTATTGGTGCATGCGTCGGATGAAGTTAGACAAATTTTCGCGAGAACTTTTGTCAACTTCCATGAACGATACCGATGTGTCCTGGGTTTTTAGCGGTAGCGTATTTGCAAGTACAATGCTCGAAACGTCATGGTTGGTATTTTACTCGGGGTATCTAACATTCATATACATTCACTATACTTCGTTACATTCGTAAGTTAATAGTCCATGTAAGTCAACGTAGTTAATAGAAATTAACCATCGTAAGAATTCCAGAACCTCCAAGTTCAGAATCTCATGTCAGCTACCTCTCCACATACAGCTACTCCACATGTAGCTAACTATAACATGTAGATAACACCTAAATATCTAAACACCATACGCACTACATCCACATTTTTAACGAAATTGCTACGAAGGGTTTAAGTAATGCCTACAAGTGATACGAAAGGTTTACACACATTTCTTTACAAGTTACACGACACAAGAGGTGTTCGAAGTCTTCTTTTTGTAATACGAAGGTTAAGTTCGTTGAGATTCTACGAACTCGACGTTTCATTTATTTTAAAGAACAATGCAGTTATTCCAAGCTGTATTAGCTGGTGTGTACATGTGTGTAGGTACTCGTGATCAATTGGGAATAGTGGTAAAACACTATCGACTGGTACTTGAATAGCGCAGTTGTTCCCAGCTCGGCTCTCGGTCGATGTATAAATGGAGCTTAACGCATTTGCTGCGGACTGAGGGACGTTGATACTAACCGAGTGCACGAAATATAATTAATACTAATATTAGTAACAATGTTATGCTACGTTGGCAATAATAATATTGTTATTAATATTAATTGCGTCGCGGGTCTGCGTATGTGGTGCTTTGATCATACGTTTCTTTTGGTGCATATTTTTGGTGAGGGACGAAATGTGGATTCGGTTTTTGAAGGTGGGAAGGTGGAGATGTGAATATTTTGAAGTTTGTATATTTGCAAAATTGAAGCTTGGGACATTGGGAAATTTAGGGGAGTTGGAAATTCAGTTGGAAATTTAGTTGGAAGTTTTGATAATTGGAAGTTTGAAAATTTGGAAATTGGGAATTGGAAGATTTGGGAATTTAGAGATTTGGTCATCTGGAAGTTTTGGAAATTTAGAGATTTAGGCATTTGGAAGTTTTGGAAATTTAGAGATTTGGTCATTTGGAAGTTTTGAGAATTTAGAGATTTGCTCATTTGCAAGTTTTGAAAATTTAGAGATTTGATCATTCGCAAGTTTGGACGTCTCAATATTTACAAATTTTGAAATTTAAGGATTTTGACATTCAAGGATTGGGAGTTTGATAACTTCAAAATTTGGAATTTTGGAAATATTGCAATATCCACCATCTTACAAATATAGAATTCCACATATGACAAAGTCCCAAATATAAAATACTGCACACATTTTATGAAATCCACGTCTCAACCATCATAATTCATTATATCATTATATATAGAAATATCAATACTTTTATTCCTCATATGGATTCCACATATCATGTCGATATCGATATCAATATTTTATTCCCAATCTGATACCATTATTCAATATACTTGACATTACGATTACCAATATATCAATATCAAATATCAATACATATCGATATTCCACATATGAATATTCCACATATGGATGTTCCACATATGGATGTTCCACATATGGATACTCCACACATTCCAATTATCGATACATATCTCTCTAAAATATCAATTCGATTTAAAATATATCACCATCAAATATCGATACGTTATATCGACACCATCGTGGACCACGTTGAAGAGCAGCGACGATGACGAGCAAATCTCGTGCTCTCCGTTTCGAGACGAACTGGCGGCGGCTACATAGATCGCTGTCGCGTCTGGCCTTGCGTGTTATTATCGTATAGATTCCTCTAGTCAGCGTAGTCTACAATGTCGTTGAATTGGCAATAAGACGACGTTGAGGAGTATAAGTTTAACCTTGCCATCGTGAAGCAGTCCGAGAACGTGGGGAGGAAAAACTGTCCAAACGTTCCTCGACGTTCTCCGATCTTTCGCTGGTCCTTTTGCATTCTTACGATAACGATACACGAGTCCCTGTGACTCGTAAAATTTCTTTCGTTCATCTACTATCCTACTATTTCCTTTATTTACCTTATCATTTACTTTCCTAATTATACTTAAGTAACTGAATAATAACTGTATATTATATATTTTGAATTCTGAATAATAGATGTATTTTGATGCAATTACTATTTCATATAATTCCGTAATTTCATTTTTGATTTTGTATGAGTCAGAATTGACTCGCGCAAGAAAAATATTTTTTTCACAGTTCGAGAAGTGCAGACATGTTTTGCATATATCGATTGTATATACGATTGTCAGATTTCGAAAATACTCCTCTCTTTTCGAAAGACCGAAATAAGAACAGGCTTGGTACAGTAGCACTGTGGAACATCAAAATAGATCGTCGAATGTTTATTCAGCTTTCTAACGATGTTTGCTTTATGTTGACACCGAACCGTTGACATTTTGAAATGGAACAACGCTAGCAGCTAATAAACAGAACTCGTGTAAACAAATTAGATACATATCCTCGACCTATTCTAACATTTTTTTTGCTTGTTTCTATTAGTCGAAGATACGAGCTACACGTTTCACGAAAAGGTCAGGAATCTGACATTTCGAAGGATTTCTCAATCAACCAGATATTTTACTGGTGAATTAAAGCCGAGGAAACTCTGTTATTTTAAATTGAAGCTGAGAAACTCTGTTGTAGTCAAATTGTAGCTGAGATCTGAAACTCTGTAGTAGACAAATTGAAGCTGAAATCTGAAACTCTGTTAGAGTCAAATTAACACTAAAGTCTGAAGATCTTGAACCAAATCTAGGACCAAAAATTTGAAGCTCACTTTTGCCACAAAATTTATGTCAAAAAATTGTACATACTTGTGCTATGTAAAATGAATGTGTTTGGTACATGAATTGCAAGGGAAAATTTTCGAGACGTGGCCATAGAAAATGGTTCTTCGCTCGTTGTCATTAAGTGACCATTATGTCGTCCCTGTTACGCAACCGCAGGTGGTTGATATATTATTAAAGTATGTGGTGGTTCAAATTGCGAGATGGACGCGTGATGATCGTAAAGCTTTATGGTGATGGTGTTTATGGCATTGAATACTCTTGCATGCCTTCGAGCATTGAGTCTCTTCGAGATTTTAGAATATGTTCAAAAGTCTATCGAATCCTTTCAGTCAGTCCACCATTAACTTACCAGTACACCATACTCGTTAAAAAAATATCTGTTTGTAAAAATTGTATCAAATTCATTACTAAACTAAACTAGATTAAACTGGGTCTTGTGTTAGAAATAAGTATGTCGAGTAATAACTTGACCAGCTAAGTGCACTCCTTAAGTGCATACTACATAAGTGCACACTGCACAAGTGCATATCGTTGAAGTCGATGGTTGTTTCGCAGATGCTGTCGGTGAGCCCAGGAATGGAGGTAGGAAGCGGCGGTCACGGCGGCCTCGGTGGTGGATTGGAAGGTGATCCGAGCGGCGGTGGCGCCGGTGTAGGTGGAGGTGGTGGAGGAGGTGGTGGCGAACGAGCGACCGACGAGATGCAGGAAGCGATGGTTGCCGCCGCCAGGGACCGGGCGATTCGCGCCGGAAGTGTCCGCCAGGACCTCGCCCTCGACCTACCACCGCGGCTGCAGCTTCCGGATGGCGAGGAACGCCCTTACGGAGCCCACACCGCCCTTCACCTGCGCGACCCGGACCAGGTGAGGCCATAAAATATTTTACGATTTTAGTCCACCGTTATTCCGCTCGCGTTCGATGGCTCTTATGGTTGTGGATCTTAATGGTACTTGAAAACCATCAGGGTTTACAGAGGTTCCCAAGGTCCACAATTTTGTGTACCCTTGTAATCCTAGGTAATTAAATTATAACTTTCAAGAATCCCTGTATCCTCAAGTTCTTGTATACTCAAATTGAATTACTGTTCTTGTGTTCTTGAATTGAATTATTGTTCTTGTATCCTCAAACTGAATTACTATTTTTGTATCCTCAAATTGAATTATTATTCTTGTGTCCTCAAATTGAATTACTGTTCTTGTATCCTCAAATTGAATTACTGTTCTTGTATCCTCAAATTGAATTACTGTTCTTGTATCCTCAAATTGAATTACTGTTCTTGTATCCTCAAATTGAATTATTATTCTTGTGTCCTCAAATTGAATTACTATTCTTGTATCCTCAAACTGAATTACTATTTTTGTATCCTCAAATTGAATTATTATTCTTGTGTCCTCAAATTGAATTACTATTCTTGTATCCTCAAACTGAATTACTATTTTTGTATCTTTAAATTGAATTATTATTTTTGTGTCCTCAAAATTGAATTATTATTCTTGTGTCTTCAAATTGAATTACTATTCTTGTATCCTCAAACTGAATTACTATTTTTGTATCTTTAAATTGAATTATTATTTTTGTGTCCTCAAAATTGAATTATTATTCTTGTGTCTTCAAATTGAATTACTATTCTTGTATCCTCAAACTGAATTACTATTTTTGTATCTTTAAATTGAATTATTATTTTTGTGTCCTCAAAATTGAATTATTATTCTTGTGTCTTCAAATTGAATTACTGTTCTTGTATCCTCAAACTGAATTACTATTTTTGTATCTTTAAATTGAATTATTATTTTTGTGTCCTCAAAATTGAATTATTATTCTTGTGTCTTCAAATTGAATTACTATTCTTGTATCCTCAAACTAAATTACTATTCTTGTATACTCAAACTGAATTACTATTCTTGTATGCATATTATATCTTGCATTCTTGTATCTCAAAATTTGTAGGACCCCAAATACATACATTTTCAAATTCCTGTATTCCTGAATCTATAAATGCAAGATCCTAACATTTCCAAATAATGATCTCACTAAAACCTAACCAAATATCTCACCAAACTCTGACTCCATCTCCAACTTCCACTTCCCTAAATTCTAACCCCACCTCCAAGTTTTAAATTTTTCAAAAGTCCCCAGAAAAATCAGTCAGTCAGAGATCTCCAGCTTACTCGCACATGTCCCAGAAAGCTCAAATTTCAATCATACATGGAAATAATTTAAACCGATCGATTTCAGACGTCCCCCAATCGGTCGTCCATTTATCGAACGTTCGATTAACCGACGTTAATTACCGCATTTTCGAGAAACACGATAGGCCGAGGGTAATAGCGCGCGTAAAAACAGATAAATTTTCCACGCTCCGTGTCCCCGAGATAAAATCGCGTTACAGATCGTTGTTGATCGTGTGTTTTCGAAGCGGAGGCTCGTGCGATCCGCAGGTGTTGAGTGAGAACTCGTGCTGATCGCGCTCGTATTTATACCTGACGGGGTTGTTTCGCGTCTTGATATCGCGGAGACGGTGTTATTAAGCGAGAACGGTAATTAACCGCGCTGATTACAATGTTTAAACGGTTATTTACGGACTGGCACAGAAGACCGAAAGATATACGCGATTCTGAGGCTTCGAAACTTCTTTTTCTCGTTGGCTGATTTAGCCAAATGCACCTGTTGCAATTAGCTTTCACGTGGTAGACGTAAAATCGAATGTTTCGAGTAGGATCGTATAATAGTATTTGCTATATTCGACCCTTATTTAGATTTATGGTCTGAAGTCGTTAAGAAAAATTAAGAGACGCTAATTAATTCTTTATAAGACATTGAAGCTAGGATTACAGTCATTAAGAGATTGAAATACCCCACGTATTTTAAGCAGTTTAGTCTTGGGATTAATCGAACACTATATTTGAACGATACATACATTATACTGCTCGATTAAAATAACTGCGTTAGTTTGCATCCGAAGAAATTTCATTCCATTTCACTCCAAAAAATTTCGCGCTGAAACTATCCAGAGCTGAGAAGAATGCATATGCACATAAGTCTGATAGGTCACACAGCTTCTCAGTTCCGAATCGGAAGATTTGTGACAACGCGTTCTCATTTTCGAGAAATATCGTCGGCCGTTCTGAGCCCCACGAGGAAGGGGATCGTGTTCTCTACCCCGTCGAGGCTTCTGGATGCCCGAGCTAAAACACGCGCGCCCTCGAGACTGCTCGAGGGTCACGGGT